TGTATTTTATATCTAAATTAAACATTCAGATTTCGTAATAATTGTTATTCCACATTCACCATAAGATGAGTTTTTCAATTCCCTTATCAGTATCCAAATATCCATACTTCCTACATTTCTCTTTGAATGTCCTCTGAAGAATTGGAACATTTGAATTTTTTACCCTAAAGCCTTGGACTTAAATCATTTTATCTTTGGACAGAGACCTCATTCTGTAGAAATAATGGGAAATTTAGATCTTGAAGACACATTAATTGATCCGTTTCTGGAACTTGCACCGTTTTCCGCGCGTTCTGAGAAAGCACACAATGAACTTCTTACTACAGATATGAATCCAAAGACAGGACCTCAACAGACGGTTAAACAAGTACCCATATCAATACATAATTTGAAGGCACACTTACCATTTCTGGCTACGCATTTACAAGAAGCTCTGGCTGAATCTGTCTCCTCAGAGAATCCAAATCAGGTAAGTTTTTAAAAGTTTTATGTAAACATTTATATTTCATTCATAAACTTTAAGAGAACTATTAACAGTCTTGTACAATAATAAAAATTGGCCATTCAAGAGAAATAAAATTTTTCAAACCTACAGGTAATTTAACAATGATTAGTCAAACCAAATGAACACAATTAAAACCCTCAGGAGATCCCGAAAATTCCGCATCGTCTATCATCTCCTCCTCTCATGGTCTCCTCCCTTTCACCCTCGAACCCATGCCCGATTTATCGTTTCCCACTCGAGTTCAACTCGAGCGATAGCCTGACACATGTGTCACTCAGTGGTCTCCTTCATCGCCATTGTGTTCCGAATATTCTTCGAGTAATAGTTTTTTTTTGTTGGTTCTTTCTTAGGATTCTTTGTTTGTCATTCTTTCCGATGGCCACCTGATCTGCAGTATGGAGTTGGCGAAGATAGCTGTTTATAAATGTCTGAAACCTGTTGGAAATGATTACTGTGACATTAACGTCAAGTTTCTGACCCATATTGGATGACTGTCTGACTTAACATTAGAGCTAGAAATCCCACTCTTGTTCTATATGCTGAGTGCAGACTATTTCCAAATTGATTTTAAAGTGATGAAAGTCCATCTTTTGGTCTTGACGTCCTCATTCTTTTTTCTAGCCTGTAGTTGAAATAGTGCCTTCCAGGTAAGCTAAGCAAGTGACGTCTTTCAAATTTCTTCCGTTGATACTGACTGATGTCTGTTATTAGTTGGTTATCATATCGCTGTTTCTGATACAGTATTAGCACTTAGCGTGAAACATGAAATTAGCTTAGTTCAGTAAGATGCTGTATTTAATTTGGTATAACTTTTGCAACAGTACGTTTATATGATGATATTAGATGGTTGGAGGCAATCGACAGAAAGGCCCGCCTGACCCAGGTTTCAGGCTCCTTGGCACTCAACAGTCAGTAAAGCGTATCTACAACCTTGAAGGAACTCATATCCTTTCTGAAATTCGAACCCGCGACACCCAGTGCTGCAGTCGGAGACGTTACCACTGAGCTATTCGGGCTAGCGATTGCCTCCGACTATCCAATATCACCAAATCAATGTGCACCGTAATGACGAGCTACCTAGAATGGTGGCTACATTGCAAACCTGACTGATAGAATTCAGTCTGCACGAAAGAAAGGACTAGACACGTCACACTTGTTACCAGTGTCCAATCAAAGTACCCACTGCAGTCCTACAGGTCAGATGGGCCTTCCTGTTGATTGTCTCCAACTACCTAATATCAACATCTGAGAACCATGAACTATGGAACTGTGCTACTATTTCGAGAACTGGCAAAAACCATAATTCATGGGTCATTGGATTCAAATGCCAAAACGTTCACATGATAGTCTGAAGATTTTGGGTTCCATATTTTGATTGGGATTGTAGATTCACATTACTGAGGCGTCAAAAATTAGAAAAAATGGTTACCCAGTGACTCCTGGCTTTCAGTGGTTCCTTAACTTACTTCAGATCGTGGCAAAATGTACTTTGAAACTAAATGAATTTCAGTAGATTAGACTTCTGATATCTTGTCTTCCAGTCGTGAATCATAAGTTGTTATCACTAGTGAAGCAGTCTGTGGTAGTTTGTAGCACTGAAAACAAAGCAGAAGATTAGGCGTTCCAAGATGCACATAAGAGCGCTCTTGTGTCTGCGTGATATTTAAAACAGTAATCTACTTCTTGGAAGGTTCCAGAGCTGATATTTGTGAATATTTTGCTGTCTAAATGGTGTGGAGTTGAATATTACAAAGTGAACATTTGGATAGTTCGGAAAGTACTTACTCCATTATTTAACTGTATTATAAAGAACAAAACAGATTTATGCGATATCCAATAGAAAACTTTTGTGCTATAGCTACTGGTATACATATTTTTTTCGTTACGCCACGGGAGATCCAAATCACAGCAGGCTGTTCACAAACGCTGAAAGTAAGGTTCAGTGAGTTCAGGGGACGATAAGATCTTGAAAGGATGACACACACTAGATTTGAACTATTCTGGTGTTCTCTATGACATCTTCTAACGTTCTTTGAGATCTGGTGTTGAGTGAAATTGTTTTTCAGAGTGATTCCCATGTCATTCTAAAATAGGCTAGTTAAACTTAGGATAACCATTCTGTTTATCATTGGAATTTATTCTTAACGACTCACACAATAAATTATACTGCTCAGAAGCGTCAGTAAATCTCAGTGCAAAACTTTTTAGAGAAGTGAATCAGTTTCAGTTTTCACGCTTAGATGAGCTGTACAGTTAGCATGTGAAAAAGTAGATCGTCATTTTTCAATAAGTGTGTAGGTAATTTTATCCTGGTCATCTGAGATGCTGCAAAATTTCAAAGACGAAATAAATCAGTACATTTCATTGTGATATATTTTTGGCTGCTTTTCTTAGGCTCTCCAAACACTGGTTACCAACATTATGTGGGCTATATTCATGAAGTCTATATTTTCTTAAGTATCTCAGAAAGACAGATTCGTCCTAATGGTACTACTCTTAGCCCATTCCAAATGAAATCTACTTCTACCAATAGTAGCCATAGGAAAAAGTGGTGGGTAATGAAAACCAAATTATAATCTATGCATCTTAATGAAACAAAGCTAACGACTTCACCATTTGAACTGTCTGTCGTATCTTAACATTGGGCTAACCTATTTATACAACTTGAGCAATTATGCGAAGATTGCTAGTTAACTCTATCATGCCTTCCATCCATATCTCACAGTCGTAAAGTAAAATACAGAATTTATGGCAGACCCAGTTATAAAAAGCCAGATGTCTTACATGCAATCTGGCAGGATTTCACGGATTACTGAATCAGTGAGTCAATCATTTTGTCTTCCATGGTATAACTTTGGGTGTAAGCGAAACTTTCAAAGCGATTGTTTTATCTGCTTCGTGTTCTTCGGTTAATAAATTCTAGAGACCAGCTCTGAAGCATGATTTTACACTCAGTAGTTAAAGATTTTGCAGTTCTCCATGACTTTTTATGTTTCGGGTCAGTTTGTCATGTGAAACTATGGAAAAAAGTCAAATTTTCCAAATAATCTGAAAAAGCAAACCTGCCCAATAAGTGGATTACAAACAGTGTTTATTAAGTAGTATGTGGTTACACAGCTAAATAAATACTTCTGATGCGGGATAATTATTTCGATATATATTTTAATCCGGCTTCATAATAACTTATCATGAGGTATTATTACGGTAAATTATTCCGTACTCCATCACATGATTTAATTAAGTACAAACAAAAAGCCTATGGCGACTGCATTGTAATGCATAGGATCACTTGTTTGCAACATTTATTTCAATCAAAGTGGCTGAAACATAAAATTAATGAATTATTTGACAAGGGATCATGTGCTATTTTTTCACCTAGTCATCTGATGACCGACAACTCTAAAAGAATATACGTTGAACTATTCATATTAGTGATCACTGTTGACCTCATTCTAAAGAACAAACTTCTAATGCAACACAGCGGTTTAACGTTCCTGTCAAGCGTATCATTAAGATAAACAAACGGATATTAAAGTATTGGTTTGTAGGCATTTAACTGATTGTCTACGGGATTTCATCATGAGCTGACATCGGTTAGAGAAACATTGGAAAACCACCTGGGAGTATTGGAAGAAATATGGCTCAAAATCGTAGTCAATGGCGCAGATGTATTCAGTCTCTGTTATCTTTCATATTCCTTTCCACCATTACTCATTCACTCTCATTTAACTCTTGTACTTGTCAAAACTATTGATTCTCTTCAATCATCTTCTTGTCTACCTTTGTGTGCTATTTGGAACTTGGCAACTCGAACTGCTGCACTTCGGTGCCAAGTTCTATGTTGAATCCAGCTAGCCAGCAGCCAGCCATTGGATGAAACAGCTGTCCAGGTAAAAGAATTTCTATAACCTTGTTCTATAAATTATCTAATAACAGTTAGCTTGGGTTTATACAAGTTTATCATCGAATTTCGGAACATAATTCATTATGGCTGGTCAGATGATTGACAGGAGGAATACTGAGTGATGCGCTTACACATCGCATTAACTATATCGTCTTCAGGAACTACACATCACATCAATCTACAAGACTACAGACAACTGGCGAACTAAACAAATGGAAAGTTTGGTCACGTGACTGATTGTCTCATTTATCTAAATAAATATGTTTTCAATGAGAGAGAGAGTATAGGCGGGACTACTAGTCTGGGCTTCCTAGTTACAACCGCTACATCCAAAATTTGTGGATACTTACGGCATGATTTCTCCTCTAAAAGGCGAAAGAGTGCATAAATACATCAACACTAATATAAAAAGAACAAATTATTCTGGAAAATAAAAGCAAACCTGATATGAATGGGTAAAAAAAGGTATTCATTCCTGTCCATAAGGACAGTAATACATTGTGAAAGCAATCAAATCAAACTGATAAGTTAATGAAATAGTCAGTGTAACATTTTTTCTGCGTAATCTGTGAGCTTGTACTAATATATCAGCTAACAGTAGAAATCACTGAAATAAGGATAATTTAAATCAATCAACATATCTGTAACAATTGCTGGTTCTTCATATATTAATGGTGTTTGAGTTGTGTAGCATGTTGTCGGTATTACTGGATAACTTGGATTAGATAGCGGAGCGGAAAAGTTCTGCTTATTTGCATTAGGTTGATCTGAGGGTGTATTCATCCACCTGGATGCTACTAATGGTTCTGCTGATGACGTTCCTCGGCATCTCAGGCATTTAGATTGTTTTCTTGTGGATTTTATCTCACAGCATGAGGGGGGACATTTATTTAAAAGTCGTATTATATCACCCAAGCGCCGTGCATTTTCACATCTTTCTGACGATTCACTTGAACTATAAGAATCTGAATCAGAGCTTGTAGATAACTGTGTTTGAGTGGAAACGTCTGTTCTGGTTGTTTGTTCGTCATCCACTGGTGCGTTTTCTTCACTTCTCTTTTCTTGTTCATTCGGTATAATTTGATCTTCGTAATTTATATCCTCTAGATCGTGTTTCTTATGATATGATTTAGACGAACATGGGCATTGGCACTCAGGGAATTCATCATATTTTTGCTTCTTATGCTTCCTTTTCATCTTCCTACTACCTTTGTAAAAGGCGTCTGAATTCAGAACAAGTTTCAAAGCTTCCACCCATTCAGATGAAGTCTTTCTCCCCTCCTTTTTTTCCTCATCGTCGTCCTCCTTTTTTTCTTTCACATCGGTAAGTAAATATTTGGCCAAGCGAAGCAGCATTAAATTAAATTCAGTGTCTTTCACTTCTTTTAGAGCCTCTTCTTTGAGTACATCATTAGTGACAGACTGTTCTAGGTTTTTAATGTTTTCAGGAGTACTACTTTTCGGCTTTGTTGGAGATTTTATCTGTGGGGTTGTCTCTTTACTCTTAGAAAGTCTTCTAGGTAAAGTAAATATTCCCGAATTCTTTCGAGATACTGAAGTTTGTGCATCCAACTCTGCTTTGGGCTGCATCTGAACTAGTCTTGAAGAAGTGGTCGCTGATGTTGTGGGAGCACTAGTTGACTGGCTTGTTTCGGTAGTATCTGAACTTGTTGTAGTAAGTGAAGTTCCAGTGGTACTCACACTTCTTAAATCGGTTGGAGTACTGACAGCGGAACGATCCGGTGTTGTACTACTAGATTTTAATATACCAGACCTTTTCTCTTGGACTGAAGGGGATGAAGTAGTTTGGCTGCTTGTGTCACCTTCAATCCGTCCATCGGCTGGTGTATTCACAATTAGTAAGTTATGACTTTTTGTCTCAGATTTATGTTTCTTCGAGGTTTTGTCTTTCTTCGAATGGCTAGAAGTATCTTTTCCAGCAGGCGATTTACTCTTACTTTTAGGCTTTTTCGGTTTTTTATCTGGTGTCCGTTTAGCATCTTCTTTACCACTCTTCTTTTTTTCACCAGATTTACTCTGTTCCTCTGCTTTTTTCGCTAGTTTTTTTGTCGTTTTTTTAGCACTCTTAGAGGAAGATTTTGCTTCTTTTTTAGCCGTTTTTTTCGCTGTTTCTTTGGAAGCTTTCTTTGCTCCTTTCTTAGCGGCCTGTTTTACACCTTTCTTAGCAGCTTCTTTCATTGCTTTTTTGGCTACTTGTTTTCCAACCTGACGAGCTGCGATTTTTCCTCCAACTCTTAAACCAGTAGTACCTATTTTAGCCACTACACTTGCCATTTTTCAAGTGCATAATTGTTAAGCTTTTGGTATCAGCATTTTTGAATAACATCTTGCATATTTTATAGTAACGTTAAAGTGTATTAATAAGTTTTAAGTGTAAAAAATTGGGTCATGTGATTTATTGATCAATCTGAGCGATTCGAAGTAATTTGTGTTAAGTATCATTGACGAAGTTTACTGTTCACTACACTTGCTGTGTACGATCAACAACATAGATTAACCGCATAGAAAAAGGAAAACCTACTGAAATATCTCTAACACGAACGAATGCCGTTATTTTTATGTAAGTAAGTATTTCCGCCTTGGGAGATGACATACGACTTAAGGATAATTCCCAGTCAGAATTATCACTACCTGTCTACACCTGACTATACTCCAGATCCTGCTCTTATTGAGAAACATTTTTATGCAGACTTCGCAATCAACCGGATATACTGTCAGGTTAAGTTCCTTACAAAAATCAACCTTCCCAACACTTCGGGTAATAGTTTTTCATCATTCTGGATAAGTTTCATTGACGCTTAGTGAAATATTGATCAAACAGTTGAAAGATACTAAAGCAGTTGAACTGGTTAATAATTCTATTATTGTAAAGGTTACACCGGTGACTGTGTTCTGGTAGTGGAACGTGGTGGCATGCCTTAGGACCAAAGCTACTGAAGCGCTGACTTGTGAATTTGTAGTGTTACTCAAGAGATGCGTAGATACACTGACTTAAGTGTTCCATACACTAATTAGTGATTACCGGAAAGAATTGAATTCCTGATACTCATCGTATGCTAAACTGACAACATGGAAGAATTAAGACGATTAATCAACACCGTTATAGAGAAAAATGACTTATTACACATATTGCGTTTCACAAAACCACCTAGAATGAGTGCTAAGGAGCAGATTATTATTAATCCTTTGGATTCCGAATGGAACATAAGGCTCCAACCACGCATATACATTTCACCCTGTTCCCTTTGGTGCTTTCTGGCTGATTATCTCCATGTTGTCTGATCTCCACCTCTCATGATCTCCTCCATGTCCCCTACGGATCAACGCCCAACTAGTCGCTCTCCATTCACACTCCTCTCGGGGGCCTTATACGCAATGCGACTCAACTGTCTCCTCAGTGTATGTCCTATCAATCTCTATTTCTTAGGCTTATCTATTGGGTTCTAGGTACTTCAATGGCTTATCGAAATTCCTAGCTACTTACTTATCCTTTCTGTCTGCACTTGCGATCCTCAGTATGGGGTGAAGACAAAACTGCTGGTGAGAGTTTGCAGTCTTTTAGAAACACTTTTCGTGCGTTAAATCTTTGAATCATACAGAAGCACTGATTTCACATTTATGTTGAAATTCCGAATCCTGTTCCTTATGCTGAGGAGTGCAGAAGACTTTCAAACTGATTTCAGAGTGATTTAGGTGTGACCCGAATTTCCATTCCTGGTCTTGATATCCTCATTCTTGACGTTTATGGTTGAAACAGTGCTTCCTAGATAACTGGAAGAAATGATTTCTTCTTTTAAATTTCTCCCGTTGATGGTGATTGGTGCTGGTTGTTGTTGCTAGTTAATTAACTTCCTCACCTCCGTCTTCTCTTTATTTACTTGAAGTCCAATCTTTGCTGCTTCTCCAACCAACTTGTTAGTTTTCATGTGTAAGTCTTCAAGTTTGTGGGACATTAGATATAATAAATTGTCTGTGAAGTCGAGATGCTTTAGTCTTGACGATATTTTGTATGACCGCCAACCTTTATTTTAATAATGCTAAACAAATGCAGTCACAGGAAGGCTAACTTCATGTAAAATATCAACTGTAAATATATTTATTTTATATAATTTGCGTTAATGAGTTCTATGAATAAAATTCACCGGAAAATGATGTCCAGCTGAGAGGCGATTGAAACAACGGCTTAAGAAGAGCCCCAAGAAACCAACATAAACCAAATAGGACAGGACTGCGCTGACCTGATATTTCATACGATTCACGAGATTCTTATTATTTCACTGATGCATTTCACAGCATTTTCGTAAATGAACTAGATGAGAAACAGTCACGTTAGGTATCTTCAAATCACACGCCTCACTTCCAAAGTGGATTATTATTATATTATTGTTTCCTTTAATTCCTAGGGGAACATAAGGCTTCAGCCGTGCATCTCCATTGCGTTCGGTTCTCTGCTAGAGTCTTCACCTGGCTCCACTCCTGCCCACATGTTTTCATATCCTCTTCACTTGACCTCCTCCAAGTCACCCTTGCACTGACGACCAACTCGCCGCTTCCCTTTCGGGTTCCACTCGAGTGATAGCCTGGCGTGTGATGTCACTTGATGGTTTTCTCAGAGTATGGCCAATCCATCTCCATTTCTTCCTGCCTATTTGTTTCACAATCGGTTCCTGCTGGGTTGGTTCGCTCCCAGAGATCTCTATTGCTGATCTTAGTATTTAGCATTTCTTCTCATATTGCTGAAAATAATTATGACTGAACAAACTTCCTTCTTCATGCTAATCTTTGTTGTGAAGACCTCTACAAACTTCGTTTCATGTGAATGTAGACGCACAGAATACTATTATAGACTATTCTGCCTTATACATAGACAGTTTTCTTTTAAAATGACTCTTTCTTCTTGCCAACTATAAAAATTATTTAGGTTTGGTCACAGCATGTTTAGAAAACCAAAAGAAAATTCCCCGGCTGCTTTTCCTTGTAAGCCATAGCTTCTTCAGTAGAACCGCTTGGATTTTATTAGACATTATAAATATATATCATTATCCATGAGTAACTGACCTAACGCCTGTTTTGACGGAGGCCACCAAAATCAACTGAAAAAGTTTAACTTAAGGAAAATTACTTTACTTCTACTCAACAATTCCTTAGTACTGTTATCTAGTCCCTCTGATTATTTCCATGAGATCATCTCCTTACGATGACTAGAAGATCACCTATTGTAAAAAAGCTAAACATTTGACCTTGTTTTATTCTATTTGTCTGTTTAATTTCATTCCATTTCCAGAATAAACCTGGCCAGTGCAATGAGTACAGCAATCAGATTTTATTAACTGGACTTTGTGCTTCTCCGTGTGAACCACAACACTCACCTCCAACTCCAACACCATTTATAGCCTCAATACCAATTCATCATGCACCACAACAGCAGCAGCAACAACAACAGTGTAAACTGGAAATTGCAAGTCGCGAATTTTCATCCTGTGATGTACGTGATACCAAATCTATATTTACATTACTTCTTATTCAAAAATTTATTGTTTATTGTTTTTACAATTTTTAAAACTGAGATTCTCGATAAAAACATAGCAGTTAGCTTCTGTTGATGGCCATTAGAAGACTGTTTGTTGCCCCCCAGAACTGAAATATTACAAACATGTTAAAACGACGCGATTATTCGATGCGATTTGCTCTTATATCAATGAAACAAATAATGCATACAAATTCCGTCTGTCTAAGTCAAGAAATATTTCTTTTTGCATCTGACAGTACCATTTATGCATGTCTTTGGATCTCAAGGAAGGCAAACACCTAGACCGAAAACTCTCAGCTATCAGTCAGATATGCTCTATTTTCTTCATTATTTCTGTTTTGTGAGTCACTCATAACCTCTGAGACTTTCACAAAAGCCCCTTCCATACTTTTTTGCAAACTGGGAAGACTACTGATTTAAGTTGGAAACGCGCATCATATTTTACTGTCATATCCAAGGTAACCAACTTTGTAGTCATTTTCACGCGAAGTTTAGAAACGAAGTCACTGTGTACTTTTTGAACCAATGAAGAAGACTTTTGTCTGAGAATAGTATTTTCGGTGTAATTGTGTTCTGTTACGTGAGTCAATTGCAAACTTATGATCTTCCATCTGGATAACATCTTCAGGAATAATTTCAAAATGAACTAAGTAATCGTTTCCTCCTGTGACTTTGACCCGAGTTACATGTCCCAAGGGATTCACTCATTACTGTGTTTATCTGCATGTGTAATCATCGTTCCACTGACCTGATTCTTTCGTCTTTAGATCATGTGACTCGTGTTTTATTCACTGATAAATTTGATCTCCATCAGAATGTCTGTTAATTGACGAAAGACTTGTGTATCAGTCTTCTAGAAATTCTCTGAGATTCATCATGTTTCCTCAGTTTAGAACTTACATGGATTTTTTTAGTTGACTTTGTATCCGTAGTTGTTCATGTTCATTGACACGGAATGCACGTTATGTCTTCAGACGGCTGATTTGTGATCGTCAGTTTATTGTGTTACTACTTTCTCTAACAGAAATATAATGCCTATCGGAAATAGCATATGGAAAGCTCTGGTACATGATAAACGATAATGCTCCACTTTCGATTATCATGTGAACCCAAGAAGTAAATAGATTTTAGTTACGGTACTCTAAAGCCGTGCAGAGCAAATATAAGTGAAGTGAATGGCTCAATTAAGCAGCTAATTTAAAATGCGCTACCTTATAATAGATCTTACAGTCTCAGATAGAGAGAAGTGCAGCGGAGTAAAGACTCTTTCTGAAGGGATAAGCAGACATCACGCTGTTAATGGGAAGTGATTTTGATTTACGAAAACACTGTTTTATCTATAGTGCAGCTAGAAACTAGTATATATTGCTTTATATTTATGCAAAGCTTAATGGGGATATTACGAAAACAGATTATTCGAAGTGAATTCTCACTGGACTTAAACCAAAATGAGTAACTTTTTTTAACAAAAAGATTAACTTGCATATATACATATATCTGTTACAACTGATCCCAAAGCAGAGGTGTAAAGATTCACTCATACAACGAAACTTTAATGAGGAAAACAGAAGACATGAAGTCTAGACAAATATTCTTGGATATATAATTAAGACTGAATGAGTAAAATCACGATTAGTTTATCTTTATTATCATTATTATTTATTATTATTGTTTCCTTTAATTCCTAGAGGGACACACGGCTTCAGCCGTACGTCTCCATTGCATTCTGTTCTCTGCTAGAGTCTTCACCTGGCTCCAAGTCTGCCCACACGTTTTCATCTCCTCTTCACATGACCTCCTCCAAGTCACCCTTGCACTGACGACCAAATAACTCTCCACTTCCCATTCGGGTTCCACTCGAGCGATGGCTTGTCTAGTGATGTCACTTGATGGTTTGATTCCTCAGAGTATGGCCAATCCACCTCCATTTCTTCCTGCCTATTTGTTTCACAATTGGTTCCTGGTTGGTTCGCTCATTGCCAGAGATCTCTGTTGCTGATCTTTTCTGGCCATCTGATCTTGAGTATTGAGCAAAGACAACTGTTGATGAATGTCTGTAGTTTGTTTGAGATGCTCTTTATGACGCGCAGTGCAAGTCTCTGATCCGTATAGTGAGTAGCACTGACTTCACATTGGAGTTGAAAATCCTGATCTTATTTTTGATGCTGAGCAGTGCTGTTGACCTCCACACAGACTTGAGAGTAGTGAAAGCTTGTCTTGCTTTTCCGATTCTTGCTTTGATATCCTCGTCAGTTCCGCCGGCCTGTAGTTGAAACGATGCTTCCCATGTTGGTAGGTAAAAGAGGTTGTTTCTTTCAGGTTCCTTCCATTTATGCTGATCGTTGTCTGTTGTTGTTCTTGTCCAGGAATCTTCATTACCTCTGTTATCTCTATGTTCACCTGAAGTCCTATCTTTGATGCTTCTTCTGCTAACTTGTTGCTTTTCACTTGCATATCTTCCAGTTTGTGGGAAATCAGACATATATCATCGGCGAAGTCCACATCCTCCAAGGTTTTGAGTGAGTTCATTTTATGCCTGTTTCCTCGTTGCCAGACCCGCTGTTTGTCGTATTATCCAGTCTACTGCAATGAAGAAAATCATTGGTGATAGTAGGCAGCCAGCTTGTCTTACTCCTGTCCTCACTTCGAAGGATTCCGTAAGTTTCCCGTTGTGGATTACTTGGCATGCAGCATTGTCGTACAGCTGTTGGATGAGATGTATAATTGTCGGTGACACCCCATAGTTGCGTAGTAGTTTCCAAATCACCTCTCGATCGACGGTGCCTGTTGAAGGCCTTTCCAAAGTCGATGAAGTTGAGATAGAGAGGTGACTACCATTCCAAGCTTTGTTCAGTTTGTACAGTTTGTCTTTAGAGTTGCAATATAGTGAGTAGAATGTAAACATAGATATATATATATCAGATAAAAAGGATTTATTTCATGAATAACATAAGACTTGCTGCTTAACCATCTAAATACATAGAATCACGAAGAAACCGGAATCTGGTCACATTTCTTTTGGTTTGTATAAAAAGCCTACAAACTGCCTTATGTCGTTACATACATCTACTTTTTATTGTCTTGTTTGTTTCCGAATCGCCATTTTTGGTTCTACTTATTAGTTTGTGTACTGGTTCACTAAACCTTTCAACAGTGCATATTTGCCACTGCGAAGTGAATTTAGTTGAGAAACACTAATATGTAAAATAAGTCGTTGCTGCTTATTGAATGAACATACTGTACAAATTATTGTACTGATTCTAGTGTTGTAACGATAGAAGACAAGGGCCAGTCATTAGATCACTTATTGAGAAAATCAAGATATATTTATAGATTTTTATGTACATTGTTAGGGAGCATATGCTGAAGCTCTATACGAGCTCTATACTGAAGATCAGATGGCCGGAAAGAATCATCAACCAGAAACTATGGGGACAAACAAAACGAGAAACAATCATCCAACAAATATGCAGGAGAAAGTGGAGATGGATTGGACACTCGCTGAGGAGGCCGCTGGGTCACATCGCGCGTCAGGCCATCACTCGAGTGGAACCCGAAAGGGAAGCGGCGAGTGGAACGTCCAAGGGTGACATGGAGAAGATCGTGTGAAGAGGAATTGAAACAGTAAGGACTAACATGGACGCAGGTGAAAAGTACAGCACAAGACAGAAGCAAGTGGAGACGTGCAGTTGAAGCCCTATGTTCCACTAGGAACCCAAGGGAACAATAATATAATAATAATGTACATTGTTATTCGTTATTGTTCACAGAGAAGTAGCGCCTTCTGATTGGTTGTTTTTCTGCTGAAGGTTATTCTGTCATCTCTTTGTTGCCGTTTGTTAGATGGTTAGTTCTTATATCTTCAAATCGTATTTGCACACGCTAAGTCTGCTGTGATTGGTTGTTGAGTTCCTCAAGGTTAAGCTTTGTGATTGTGTTTCCTCATGACCCCGATTTGGGACGTAAACATTGACGTAAATTGGTGTCTACCAATTTTGGCTAGCAGACAGCTCTCACCACAGTGTCAGCAAAACTGAAAACGGAATACTATCTTTGTTTTAAACTGTCCTTTAGATAATAATACTTGAATATCAATGAGATGCCCACTGGTGACTGGCCCTATTCAGGTAGGTAGTTACCTGGGGTTCCAGTGGGAAGTTGTGACCAGTAGAGTGCAGCCGTCGGGTGTGAGGACAAATACTCGCCGAAGACATTGGCTAGCGGTTGCGCTATATCGTGAATTGGCAGAAGTTAGAATTCATGGGCCATTGAATCGGGTCCCAGTGGCTTAATGGTATAGGAACTCGCCTTGTAACCAGAAGGTCCTGGGTTCGAATCCCGGTGGGTGCGTACTATGAAGAGTCCCAAGCTAGGACGAAACAGCCGTCCAGTACTCCCAGGGTTTCCAATAGTTCTCTAACCAATGTCAACTCATGATGAAATTCTGTAACCAACAGATAATAATACTGTTTCCCGATGGAGACGTTTTTTTAAGTAAACAAAACCTGCAAAATCCAGATAATTCGAAACTTGGTTACCCAGGTGAATTGGATTCCTTTACTCTAAAATATCGCCACACTTCAAGTTTCGCGCCTATATCATTTTCTTTCTCTTCTTGTCTTTGTGTATTTGTGTAGCTGTGGCAAAACCCCAATGATGCAAACCACCACGTGTGTCGTGAGAATATTGAACATTTACAGAATCAGCTGTTAGACATGAAACACCAACTACAATATTGTCAAGAAAGGGAAAAGAATAAAGAACAATTACTCGAAGAAAGTTATAACACAACAAGACAATTGCAAGAAAGTGTTACAAATCTATTTCAACAAGTGAGTTATTCTCATAACTGACTTATTGAAATTAATCAACTACCATTTTGGTCACTAATAATATAACGAGCTCTGGACAGCATTCAAAAGGGACACTGTTGCAAGTCAAGACTTAGGAACTAGAGATTTCTTGTTTTTACAAGTGAGTTGAGATTCAAAGGCCAAGTGATTATTTTGCCTTAAGGCAAAGAATCAATTTACTTGACTTCTAGAGCATTTGAATGAAAGAAAACAAAACATAGTTTCGCAGCACACGTAAATTTTTTATTTGCAATCGAAGTTCTTACGCTATGCTAATTACGGTATTTTATAACTGGATGCAGAATTCCTACCAGAACAAGCTGGATTCAGGAAAGGCAAATCATGTTCTGACCAAATTGCAACTCTACGCATCATCATCGAACAAAGCATGAAATGGCAATCAAACCTCTACCTCAACTTCATAGACTTTGAGAAGGCCTTCGACAGCGTTGACCGCGAAGTAATTTGGAAACTACTCGAGTACTATGGCGTACCCCAAATATTCATCAACCTTATTCAACAGCCGTATGACAACTGCACACGTCAAGTGATCCACAACGGAAAACTCAGCGAGGCGTTCGGAGTAAACACAGGAGTCAGACAAGGGTGCTGATTATCACCAATGATATTCCTAATTGTGGTGGACTGGATTATGCGTCAGACAGTGGGAAACGAGAAGACAGGGATATCCTGGACCGACGTGAAGTATCTAGAAAACCTGGATTTCGCGCGTGGATGATTTATGTTTGATGTCACACAAAATCGAAGACTAACAAGCGAAAACCGACAAACTGGTCGAAGAAGCAGCCAGCGAAGACAGGACTCCAGGTGAACATAGACAAGACGGAGGTTATGAAAATAACCAACCAACCAACAACAACAACAACAGCAGAAGTAACATCCAGCGCCAATCACCATCAACGGGAGGAAAGTGAAAGAGGTTACTTCATTCACTTATCTAGGGAGCAGGAGGAACGGACGAGAATATCAAATCGAGCAGCGGGAAGGCGAGAAACACATTCATCAACCTGAAACCAATCTGGAAATCTTCGTCACTCAACTCAGCATCAACAACAAAATTCGGATTTTCAATACAAACGTCAAGTCAGTCAGTTCTTCTATACGGATGGATCAGAAACTTGCCAGGTAACAAAGAATATTTCCAACAGCCTGTTGCAGACCTTTATCAACAGCTGTCTTCAATCTATTCTGAAGATCAGATGGCCGGAAAGAATCACCAACAAGAAACTATGGGGATAAACGAAACAAGAACTAATCGCTCAACAAATATGCAGGGGAAAGTAGAGATGGAGGAGGAGGCCGTTGGTTGACATCGCGCGTCAGGCCATCGCTCGAGTGGAACCCGAAAGGGAAGCGGTAAGTGGGACGTCCAAGGGTGACATGGAGGAGATCGTGTGAAGAAGAGTTGAAACAGTATGGATTAACATGGATGCAAGTGAAAAGTACAGCAGAAGACAGAAGCAAGTGGGGACGTGTAGGTGAAGCCCTGTGTTCTACTAGGAACCCAAGGGAACAATAATAATAATAACTGTTATATCAAGAACAGTCCCATAAGGTGAAAAAATATAATCAAAGGACACTATAAACACCAATGGGAAGAGGCAAATACTGTCCTAGTATGATAACTTTTTTTGAGTGTTTCAAGAGAACATAAATTGAATAATGTTAGTAAGTCGCAACTAAGAAATCTCCTGAAGAAATTTAACCCCAGTTTTCTTTAGGACCCTAATAGTTAGACCATCAGATGTAATCTACTTGATACTATAAATGGGATTGCAAAAGCGTACATCTTATCAACAGTAATTTGTAAATAACGAGTTTCGTTTTATTCACAACCAGAAAGAATCATGGTGGTGTGAAATGATTCAGTTGTCTGATTTAGCTAGCAAATATTACTGATCGGTGTTAGGGATATCCAGCTACCTGTATCAGTCAGCAGTACACGGGGTCTTGTAGTGTGTGCGTTGTCTTTCAAAAACAATTACTCTACATCCGTGGTGTATTTTGTATCTCATTTGAAAACTGGCCTTTAAATGAAATGTTCTCTTACAGAAAGCTATAGGATGAAGTTCTAGCGAGGAGACTTGACCAGTCGGGTCCACCTTATCGGGCGTAAGGATAAATACTCGCCGATGACACTGACTGGTGGTCGTGCTGAAATTATGAATAGGTAGAAGATAGAATTCATGGACCACTAAGTAGGGTCTCAGTGGCCGAATGGTCCTAGGTTCGAACCCGGTGGGTGAGTAGTGCTGATGAGTCCCAGAGTGGAATAACACAGCTCTCCAGTAATGCGCGGTTTTCCGAATGGTTCTCTAACTGATATTCATTCGTCGTCAAACTTGAAATAAGCCATTTTAGTTCTGGTTGCTCTGTAGCATGCTCTTTTTCAGTAACCAGTTGAATATTGAAAAAACGTTAATTCAGAGGGTGAAAATATTGTATCTATTCTTCTAATGATGAACTGAATCACGCACTTTTTAGAATATTAGACTATTAAATCAAACCCGGAAAGTCTGTTTGGCAAAATAAAAAAATTACAGTTATTCTGCGTGAAAATGTACAGAGGTAAGTGGATTTTACTTCTAATCTAACTGTCACCAAAGTTTCCAAAAGTGATGTAATCTTTTGTAATGTGGAGTGTGAAGTATCCACTAGATGATAATTATAAATTAATCACATATTATTATTATATCATTAATTCCTTTACGTTCCCAGTGGAATATAGGGCTTCAAGCTAGAGGCTTGAAGTTTCTGTTGCAGTGTTTATTTTTTACAAGAGGGGGTTTCAAGTCTCACGCCCAACCTTTCCTCTTTGCCAGCTTTTGATTTCTGGCTTAGCGAGGTTAAGGAGTGCGTCGGTGGCCGGAGATCGAACCCCGAAGAACCTGCATGGTCAGTGAGCACTCTACCTTTGTACCACCGACGCAAATTAATCACAAACACCTTATAAATAGGTACTTTTGACCGTGGAAATAAAAGAATAAGTTTGTTGGTTTAATATTATCATGGAATAATTCTTTCCACTGTACAGGTTGGAGAACGGGAGAATCTACTTCATAAAATAAGCTTAGAAGTCAATAAACTAAAAAGTAAACACGAAGAAGTTATTACAGAGGTGAGCGAACAACATCCACCATGGCGTTTACAAATTAATGAATGTTTTATTACTATGTCATTAATTGAATGGGCAGGCAAACGAATATTTTTGATCTTTTGTATAAGCAATTATTTCTGAGGGCCAAATGATGCCTGAATAAGGAAAATGGTGAAGTCTCAGTCTGATGTAGTTGTGTTTTCTGAGTTTGGTGCTTTAAATCTTGAAGCCTTCACTCTCTTTCTCGACATTTACAGCACCTCACGGTGAAACCACCGAGCGCAGAGAATACGACCACATCAGAATAATCCATCTGAGTTACAAATCTTCTCTATCCGTTGATTCAAATCACAAACAACTACCCTGTTCTGATACTTTTCACTTTGAATTATACCAAAATTAGTTCACATATACACTGCATAGATGTTTCATCCTAACAAAATTCACTAAATGCGTACACTTTTGTGCACTGCTTTTGTTTGAAAGCATCTTTCAGGTGAAAACACGAGATAATAAGGGTGTTTGAAATTGAATTTACATACCAATCATGTACAAGTTAACAACATCATGTGTAAATATGCTTCCGACCCAAAATATATTTGATATATGCTCGACAGAAGATTAAGAATCCGCCTGAGAAAAAAGATTTCAGTTAGCTTTGGTTATTCTTGTGTGCAAATAGAAATTTTAGTGTTTCCTCAAGTTTTCAGCAAGTAGTAAAAATTAACATCAGTCGATTTTCTCGCCAACCATGAAAATGATCCGGGGTTCGATCCCTGACCGACGTACTCTTAGACCTTGTTTACCAGCTTGTGTTTGATCTAGGTATGAGGGTAGAAATCCCATTGTTACTGAAACTTTAAAATTTGAAGCCCTATGCTGGACTCGAAATATAAAGGAACAGAAAAAGGTGATACGACACTGAGATAATAAATTAAATGAAAAAGAGGAATTTTGAGCACTAGTGAAAAACCAAAGAAATGCAGTTGAATGGTAGTCGTGAATAAACACACTATAATCAAAGTAGTAAGTTAGTGCTATTCATTTTGTTTAAATCCAGCCTTATGTGGTACAAGAGACGCCCTCTAGAAATTTATAGATATGTCTGCATTATTTCGTCAGATATTATGATGTTATTCACAGATTAGTTCTGTTTTACAAATCTTATAAGGAAATAGCCTTTTATTCGACTTTACTTCAACATTTTGGTAATGTGAGCACAAAATACTACTGTATTCTTTACGGACAGCTGTAAGTAACAGCCAGTGGAAGATATAATGCAGGTTTTCCGCTCCTTTTTGCTGGTTCACATTATGATTTCATCACATTCCACTCCACATAACTTTTGAGTAATATCCGATGATATAATTGCATACGTGGTTAAATTTATTGTAACAAATGACCAAATGACTGCCGATGAGTATCCGAATTACCCACAGTCTAGTTCAAAGGGTTGCAGTTACGGTTTATCGATAAGATGTGAAACATAATCAATAATCTGCCAGTTATTGCCTATCAATCTAATTTGACGTTGCATCCAATAAATATTTAGTTAGTTAAAACCTTAAGAACTAGGTTTCATCAATGAGAAGCTTCTACAAGATTGAGGATAAGTCTTGTTGACTGTCAATAACTACAAAACTCAGTCCAAGAGCTTACAGATGTGCTATCATTTAGCTGATACAAATATGCATGTTCCCATGAGTGCATTTTCATTTATTAAAAAAGAAATTGCACAGAAATATTCATATGAGTTCAAATAAGAGTCCACAAAGAAGTATCTTCGGGCAAAATTAATTTTAAAACCTCATACTTCTTTTCGTATCTCTCTAGCGTGATGCCTTTCAAAGTCAAACTAAAGAGCTAGAAGAACGCTGGCGTTGTCTACACAAACAATACGAGAATAATACAAATAATTTAACTAAAATGGTATGTTTGAGTACTATCCTAAAATGCATTTGTGTTTATTATAAACATATTAGATATTCCCATAGTAAAGTTTAGAACAACACATTTAAGTGAACAATATTGTTTTCAATGAGATCTCATCAGGCTTAACTCTAATATATATATAAGTTTACAAATAAAAATTCAAATATAAACCAATCATCGTGTTTTGTCTATAGGATAATACGATGGCGAATATAAGTTGTGCAATTAGTCATAATAGTAGTAATGATAATAATAATGAAAATGGTCTTATCAGTAATAAGGATGGAAAAGTGAGGCAATCTGTGATAACACGAATAATGAAAAACAGCATGATTAAACAAACAACTGTTCAGGTGGAAGTAGTCGATAAAGGCTAGTAAAAACAAATGAACCGACTGAGTAATGTTAGATTGTAAGGGAAGGAAATGAAACACGTTTATAATGAAGATAAGATTAAGGGATGATAAGAAAGGGGTTGAAAATATAAACAAATGGTGGTGTAGAAGTGATTAGTTGGTTATGTCTTAATAGGCCAATGGAGGGATATTGACTGTACGAACTTTTTTTGAATACATAGTTTAGGTTTAATAGTTCGAATGCCTATCGCCTCAGCTGTGTGCAACAAACGAATACGAAGTCTATTGGAAAGATTCGGTGGGACACGATGAATTACTTTGAAGGCTCTCGTTTTCTCGATTACATGACCACAATCAATTAAGTGTGACAAAATTGGGCTACGGAATGTTTTCGTCTGTCCTTTGCCAAACCACAATGGGAGGTGTTCAGAAACACATTGCTTGGCTAAGCTGTCTAGTAGCACGTCCAACATAGCAGTTACTGCAAGTGCACTTGAATCGATAAATACACACAGATGTGGCAAAACTTTTAAGTCCCAATCATTCGTCGACTAGAGAATGTATATCACAGTTAAGCCTGATGAGATCTCATTGAAAACAATATTGTTCACTCGAATGTGTTGTTCTAAATTTTATTATAAACGTATAACGGAGGAATTTAGAAATGGATTGTTAATCAGATGTGTTTTGACTTTGTTCAATCATCTTTCTTAAATGTTTCGTGCTTCATCTCATCAAGTTAATGGTATTTCTAGCCCAACCTATTTATTTCTTTCAAACCTTTTAAAATAAAAAGTGCTTTCTAGGTTGACCTGATTACTATAGAAATAGAAATTGCCGTGATTAGCCAAACCTCCTAACCAAAGCAGAAAGTTGATTTTGACTCAGAAAAGACAAAATAATAAACTGTAAATCCAGATTTTAAAGTTTAGCAATTAACTCGGATATGGTTCCCAACAACTTATTGTACTATGAACGTTATTCTATAAAGCTTGGCGCTGTGCAGACACGTATATCTAATAAACGAAATGTTGTGGGAAAAGCAAGTGACCACATGAAGTATTGTTAACGATTTTTGTATATTGAGATTATGGACACCCTTTTCTAAAACGTTGTTTTCTTTAGGTGAAAGAGCGAGATGAGTTACTGGCCAAAATGAAAACTGAAATGGAAAGTATGGAAGAAACTGGCAATGAACGAAAAAATCAGGTAAATCAGATTCTTCTCTTTTCCGTTTCCTGGTAAGGAAGTGCTGAGCTTTAACTAGCTAGTCATTAGGAAAATAACTCTACCATGAAAAAAGGCTGTAAGCTGCACAAAAGGGACAATCGTATATACATTGTCATGACAACAGAAGGAATGTTTCCATAGTCTCATCAATGAAACTGTAGGTTTTAGATGGTAGTTACGTAATACAGAAAACGCTATTCAATCGGAAAATGAGAAAAGTGAATTGAGTTACGTCACACTATTGACAGGACTGAATAGACTTCTGTCAAGATTGGGAAATGGGTATCCCCCAAGATTCATCGAGAATAGCATGAACGTAAAGCAAAAGCCTGAAAGAACCCAGATGATACCGAAGAAGCTGTTATTTGTGAACGTTGAATTTAAAGGTGAAATCGCTGCTGAGATCCTGAAGGACCGCTTATCCGGATTAATGAGAAAAGCCTTCTTTTCGGCTGAGCTACGGATCAATTTCCACGGTCAACAAATGATCAGTGTGCGTTGAGGATAAACTGCCATTTTGGACCGGTCACTTCCGTGTGTGTTTACTAATTTACCTGCTTCTTTGAAGCTAGTTATATTGGCCGCACAAAGCATACACTTTCCAAACGCATCCTTAAACATTATCCGGCATGGTTAGCAAATGGAAAATGCAACACTAGTCTTTCCTTGTAAATTTTTAATTTTTTAATTTTACTTTTAGTTTGCTTTTACTTTAATAATTAATTCGCTGTTATCACTCTCATATGTTCCTTTTGTACGTTTCCTCATCCTCTTCACATTTGTTAAATTTGACAGTCAACTACTTTTATTCTCACTCAATAGAAATTTTTACCTTATCAAATTCCTAACTTTTTCTTCCCTTGTGCTGTTGTTGAGTGTTACGTAATTTATGATTTTTATTTTTTTTACTTCTAAAGCCACTTCTGAGTAATTATATCAACTATATCACCCCCCTATTACTCAGTAACAGACTACTATACATTGTTGGTAAATGCAAATACAACTGTACAGTCTCTGAAGATAATTCCATCAATAAAAAATATTTTGCCTCACAAAAAATAATAAAGTTATGTGGATTTGGAAAAGTTAAGCATCAGAAGTGAAAACATAGTAATTGAAACGTTCACCCCCACCCCAAAAGTGTGGTGGAGGTATGTAGATGACACATCCCCTGTACTTAAAACACAAGATGTAGTTTGATTTTTTGAACACATTAACTCAAAGGTGGAGGCAATTCAATTCACTTGTGATGAATTGGAAAGTCAGGAAGAGGAGCTCCCAATGTTAGATTCCAACGTAAAGAGGAAAGAAGATGGGAAGTTAAACACTAGCGTTTACAGGAAACCCACACACTCCAACAGATATTTGGACTTCCGATCATCCCATCTTATGTCAGTAAAAATAGGATTGGTGAAATGTTTAAATGACTAAGCACAAAAACTAACTAGTACCAAGGAAAATCTAAGACAGGAACACATAAAAGAAGCCTTGAAACTTAATAATTACCCGGATAAATTAATCAGGAAATATGTAGGGAAATGTTAAGATAAAACAAATAATGATAGTAGTGATGGTGATAGTAGTAATAATAATATCAACGACGACATGCAAGTCAAATGTGCGCAAAACAACACCAACAATAGGGAATATAAATCATCACTAGCACTTCCATACAAAGAAGGAACCTCGGAAACAATAAGGAGAATTCTTAACAAGGCAGCTAGGAATAAAAGTGGCATTCAAACCCACAAACTCAATTAGAAACAAGCTTTGTCGGTTAAAGGATCAATCCTGTGGAGCCAATTAAACAAAACAATTTAGTTTATCTAATAGCCTGCTGGAATCATTGTCAGGTCAAACATATATATCAAAGTAGTAGAACAGGGGCAGTCAGACTAGCCGAGCATAAAAACCTAACAAAATCTAGATCGGTTAACCCGAATAACATGAGAAATCTAGAAAATAGTTCACCTATACCAGTACATGCATTTATACACAACCACACAATAGGATGGGATAGGATGACAGTTTTAAAATCTAATGTCACATGGTGGAGGCAGAGATTGATAACAGAAGCTTGGTTTATCGAATCAACTGCAAATGCATGTAGCAGGAATAATTCAACACCTGTCCCAGATATCTGGAAAATTTTTCTACCCCTACGACAAATAGGAGAGGACAAAGAAAACTATAAAATTCAAGTTTCGAAGTCGTATGATTATAACTGATGATATGATTATGAACAATAAATTGTGTTCGAAAGCTTGTCACCCAGTAAATAATACTGTTTCACTCACTGTGTAATACATCTAATAAACAAACTAATATGGAATCACTTAGATTTAGGTGTCCTAGTTAGCCACGATTTCAGAACTACAGCTTACTGTCGCGCGGTGGCTGCACATAGTTTCAAATCCTTACGGGCGATTCGTAGAGCCTTTTCTGGAATCACCAGACGCGTGTTCACACCCCTGTATACATCTCTGGTGAGGTCAAGACTGGGGAACTGTATCCGGGCAGTCAGTCCTTGTCTTAAAGGGGACTCACATTTCCTGGAAAGGCTTCAAAGGAAGGTAACATGTATGATTCTCGCCATGACTAATTTAGCAGTTTGAATCTCTTCTCCCTGTCATACCATAGGTAGGGAGATCTCATTGTCTGCAAACTCAACAGATTCATTGGGTTTGGACAAGCACAGAAATTTACTAGAAGAGGATTCACATAGGTTCCAAGCCGTCTATCCTCAATTAACTTTTCTGAATTTGAATCTGAAATCTGAATAGTGGATTTCACTAATAATTATCTAGGGAAATAAATAGATTTGTTGATATTCTTAACTTGTTACAATTAATATCAGTAAAAAGTCTGAGCATTGTGGAATGGATCAAATAAAGTATGATTATATTTCAAGGGTTTACACACAATGATAAGTTTTGTTATTGGTAATATTTCGAGCGAAGTTACTGCCCGTGTTCATACCACTGTTGAAATTGTTTTTTTTTTAACTTTCATGGTCTTAATCCCTCTATGCTAAAGTATGGTAATCCCTAATCATATTTTAGCTCTACCAACTCTCCATTTTTTCATCTTTGTCTATTCAGTTTGTATACTCTTCCTTACTAGGTTAATTGTTACTATTACTAATCTCACTTTTAACTGTCCCCGGTATTATTTCACTTGTTCCACTTGTCATTCTAAATCAATTCCTTTATCCAACATTAAATTCTATGCTATTAAATTTCACACAATATTACGTAACTAAAAGTCAATCTGAACGAAGAATATTCTTTTCAATAATTTCTCTTCAGGTTCTTACAATTATAAAATATAATATTTGTTGTCGTTACAATAAGGCCAGTTATGCGGCAGATACATTTTTAACGTAGAATAACAGATTAGTTATGGGGTGTCAAAATAAATAGTCGTATTTGTGTGACAAACGTGCTAGGCTGAATTCGATTACAAAATAATGTGAAACGGGAGACAATGGTGATTAATCATAATAGATTTGTAGAGTGGGGGTAGGAAAATTGACAAGTCAGTTCAAGGTTATAAAAGGTGTCAGGTGAGTGGCTAGTACAAAGTGGTCTGTGTTAAACAGGAGATAGTAAGACTGCATTGGGAGGTTCATAATGAGATAACGAATATGTGAAATGAAACAGGTGGAGGCATATATTGAGAAAAGAGATAATATCACTAATAATAAGTCCGGATAGTATAAACGAAAAAAAAAAATTCGATAGTATTGAGAGAATGTTTGCATGAAGGGCATAAATTATGACGAATAATGATAATATTAATAATAATAACAATTGTAATAATAAGCAAAGGAAAAAAAAAAAAACCAAGAGGGTTAAGGGGAAGGAGCACTCTTGGTGAGAAGAAGAATCATCAATCCAAGTTTGGCCACGGTAGGAACAGCGTCTGGACGTGTTCTTTTTGGATACTAAGTTCCGGTTTAGTCGATCTTATTGCAACAGCTTCAGCTATGTGTAGAAGACGTAAGCGAACTGTACGTGATAACGACTTCGGAATTCGGTATATAACCCTGAAGGCTGTGTTGACATCGATATGATGTCCAGTATCGACCAAGTGTGACAGGATCGAGCTTTTTATGCACTTAATTTCCCCTCTGCTGAACCAAGCTGGTATATGTTCTCGAACCCGTAGACGAACCTGCCTAATCGTGCGCCCTATATAACTTGAACCACAGGAACAGTTGAAATGGTATATGCATGAAGAAGAGCTAAGATTAGGTAAAACATCTTTGAGTTGCTGGGTGAACATTGGACGGCTACTGAAGGATAGACACAGACGTGCAGAGTAGAAAGTTTTCTTGATCGCCCTGGTTAAACGTTGCGATAGAATCTCCGCAGGAGTATCTCCCTTGAATTGGAGACGTAAAAACAGAGGCTTTTTCTCCACCGTTGTCAGTTCATGTTTACGGCTATTGTAACCTATGTTTGCTTTAATGAACTTCTCTGGATATCCGTTCTCACTTAGAATGTCTCGGATGACCTGGAGTTCTTTCTCTACACAGTCTTCGGAACAAATCGACCTTGCTCTAAATGCTAAGCATCTGATCAGATTGCGTTTGTATTTCATCGGTACAAAGCTAAGGAAGTGTGTATACTGAGCTTTGGTCTCTAGCTTTCTAAATATGGTTCTTTTGACGGAACCATCCTCTCTTCTCGTTAGTAGGACGTCGAGGAAGTGTAGAGAGTCGTTGCATTCTCCTTCGTAGGTGAAATGGACCGCTGGGTGAGCATTATTGAAGTTGCTCAAAATCAAATCACTACTTAACCCTTCATCGTACACTACAAAAGTGTCATCCATGTAACGACAATACATTTCCATATTTGCTATTTCCTCTTTCAACGGACTATTTTCTAGTTTTGCTAGAAATATATTCGCGAAAATAGGTCCCAGTGGGGATCCCATGGCTACTCCATCAATCTGTCTGTATATTTCATTATTAA